TGTTGAAAGTCAGCGTGGTCAAAAGTGGCCAAGAGCGCCACTGCAAGAATGGCCTTGTCCAGGAAAACAAGTTGGCACGGACAGCACGCAATATTGTAGTAGTTTCCCTTTTGTTTTCCATTATCTCAATATTACCCCTATATAATAACCCCTATAACCCCTCTATAAACCCTATAGAATCCCTATCATCCCATTAGTTTCCATTTCTATAACGGTATACGCAGCCGGAATCTGATTTTCCAAATGCTGAGCCCGAGGCTGCCGCTGCGAGTACTCAGTCCAGATCCTTTCAATGGCAGCTATGATGGAAAACATGGGATGTGGTTGTCAAAATTCTGGTCCCTTTTTGGGTCCCTGTTATAGTACGGTACTTAATATGTAGGGTACCCAAAAAGGGACCATAGTTTGAACAACCATGCACATGGAGAGCAGCATTCTGTCAAGCGATGAAAATTGTTGCAGCTAGGCTTGGAGCTGCCGAACTAGTAGAATCCGGCACGCCTGGCAGACTGGCAAAGACCGTTGAGAGGGCCTTGTGTTTTGCTTCGAGTTGAGAACCTGTGCAGAAGTGGTTGCATTATGAAGCACATTAGACATTACTTGCGCGGTGGGATGTAGATGTTGCGACGGAAATCTCGAGATACTTCCTGGGTGACAGCTGGCTACGCCAAGTCTAAGCTGCTGGATTTGCTATGATATGGTAGTTTCCCAAAATAAGCTGACCCCAATATAGACCCCAAAATACTATAATCTTTTATTATTGGGACCCCCTAATTTTGGGAAACCCCCATATCCCTTTCCAAAATTGATCTCAACGATGCCAGCCTCACCGTCCATGGCTGGCCGTGCCCGCAAAACGGATCAGTACGAGTGCAAGAAAGCTGGCTTTTTGGGCCCAACAATGGATGCAAAGCCAGGAGGACTCATGAAATTGCGCAAGCAAACAAAGGCTCCCATGGACTTTTTCCAACAAAAGGGTCCGTCTTGGTAGCATTTGAAACAAATTGCAACTGCACAGATGGAAGGCAAAGTCTGTTGCTGCTATGGATGTGGACATGCTCTGCGACAACTCTGTTGCTGTTGCTGGACATTTTTCTTCATGCATGATTACCTATGAAGCGTATATGTGCCGCTGCGGACGCTACATCTGTCATCTAGTCCGTCGGCCGAGAAGAAATATTGTTTAAGCTAGGATGATGGAGCTGAGCGGCAGGGCAACCCCAGGGAAAGCCCATCTGAGCCCAAACGCCTCCATTGCAGACCTGATCCACAGAACCTTGTATGACAGCCTGAAATGTGGGTACCAGGGACATCTGAAGCATGTACCTTGCTGGACAAGTCTGTGTCAAAGAAGCCTCAATTCGCGGGAAAGAGCCTGCACATTTGACAGGATCGAATTTGAGTTCAAACATGTCCTAATGTGAAACGAATGCCGGGCTATTTTCTAGCCACTCTTGTGAAGCTTCGCAAGGATATTGCGACACGCTCATCCTGCCTAGGGACGCGCGCAGCATGATCATGCGAAGGCGTAACCGTCATCTACAGGTTATGGTATGGGCTGCCAGCCTTTGGCGTCAAGATTGGGAAAGTACGCTGAAGCAATGCTACAGCATGCCGCTCACTGAAAGACGGTCGCCTGCATGAAGTGGCATGGGTTGCGGCACGGGGTGTAAGTCGGGAATTAAGGCTCAACGCGCGGTTTCCCTTCACGTCAACGTGTAGCAACGCTCAAGGTTGCAACGTAGCTAAGCTCACATTCCTCGCTTGAGAGCCCTTGCGCTGATTTCAATTCCTGTGATGGTGATGCGGAACACCTTGACTGTTCTGTACTTCAGTGCCTGCTGGACATCAAGCCGCCATTCTGAAGTGCAAGGAATGTAAAAAAAACACTTAACTCTGCCGCAATCACTCCTCAGTACTTGCCAACTGGGAGTACTAGTGCAAGTATCGGGCATCAAACATCTTGCGTCTGACATTTGTGTTACGGCATATCTTGGCCCTTTTAAAGTGAATTTCAGCACGACACCTCAGCCCTTAAATTTAAATCCTGATGCCCCGCCCAACCCCTACAGTATGACACCCCGAAACCCTTAACATCCCTTGGGCCTCTCCGGCGTCTGACCCTGGCTCGCCTCAGGAGGTTGCTGTACTAGACGTCTGTTGAAGTAACCCCAATATACTATAGTAGTTTCCATTTTATTTCCATTATCCCTAAACCCCAAACCCTAAACCCCAATACCCAAACCCCAAACCCTTAAACCCTAAACCCAATATCTCTATACTATTCTATTAGAGTAGTTTTCATTTTAGCTTCGGGCCCCTGAAATGGGGATCCCCTGCAGCTTGAAGTGGTCTGGGCCCCGGACATTTGCTTCAGGATGGAGAGATTTGGAGGTTTCCCAAAATTAAGGCTACCATTTTGGGGGTCCCCAGAAGAAGGATTATAGTATTTTGGGAGTCTATATTGGGGTCCCATTTGGGATTGCACCTCAGGGAGTTTTCCTTTGGACCCTTAGGGTTTGTACCCTGGGGTTTTGGGTCCCTAAACCATGGAATATGGCCGTCAATAAGGGTATTTGGGACCCAAAACTTAGGGGTACAAACATTAAGGGTACAAACTTAAAGTCTTTGATTGTACCTGTGCTGACACTGCCAGGCCAACCTCACTGACTTGAGGTTGGTTTTAGCCCCGTAGTTTCATATGAACTATTCTCTAAACTCCTAGTATCCCCCTTAATAACCCCTATAGTAGTCCCCTATATAATCCCCTATATATCCCCCTTTAAGGAGTTTAGACTATGGTTCATATCTTTTCTGCATGATACTGTTTGCTATACGCTGCCCTTCCACGTGCAGGACAAGTTCAAGCATCAGCCCGCCTTGCGGGGCAAATAAGGCCGCAGGAACGGCTAAATCAATGTCAAATGAAATGGAGGGAGGGGTGTCTGCAATTCCAGACAGTGAAACTTTCGCGCGAACATCAAACGTCAATACAGCTTTCCATAGCTGAACCCCAAACATAAACTGTCTGTTGACCAGGTTGAAATTGATAGCTCGTCCTCTCAGACTTCTAGGTGGCTTTCGTCTCTTGTGTTTCCCCGCTTGAACTTGAAGTCTTGGATGCTCCTACATTCTCCATCTGTTGACCGGATCATGGGTGGTTCGTACGCCCTATCGTTGCCGTTAATCATGTTATCGATGCATTTCTGGGCCATGGCGCTCAGATCCCTGAAGCGAAATCTTAGCTCATACACCAGCCCAGACCCTAAACCCTAAACCCTACGAGTCTTCTCGAAGCATCCCAACACCCTAAACCTCCAGGTGCTTACCCCAAAGAACATAGGTCTGAAAAGCCTCATGCAGCCTGTTGATGCGGAAAATGTCCTCACAAGGGCTACGGGGACCCATATTTGTCATGGGCTCCTTCGAGATCATAGCACATTAGCACACGAAGGTTACGTGGGGATGTGTGGCGCAGTGCTGGGAAGTTTTTCTTTCGCACCCAGGTGGCATCCTGAGGCTACGCCCTTGGCACTGCAGTCCTAGTACCTATCTTACTAGGGATTGCAGGGTTTAGGGTTTAGGGTGGGCCTTCAAACCTTCTGAAGCCCAAACTCAAGCCTGAGAGCCCTGCAGGATCCAACAAACGCAACAAGCTGCGAGTGCCACAGCTGGCGCCGTTGCCTGGACACCGGAGCATGGCAGCGTGCCGTGATTTACGGCACGCACTTAGGTGGATAGGTGGTGGACGGATTCTGTAAGATGGGTAATGTGTAGCAAAGTGGCAGGAGCCCTTGGATGGGGTCCTTAAAGAGGTAATGCGATGCCGAACTACGCATCATCATCATCATCATCATCATCATCATGATTGAGTTCGTGAATGCCTACGCGCGCCACGTCTATTCTCCAGGGTCGGCTGGTAAACACATGCTTGACGTGCGCAGGAACCGACTCTATTAAGCTGCAGACCGAACCCCGTGGTTGGCATGGTAACGGAGACCTCAAGTCTGCGTCGCAAGGCAACAGATCTATGGGAGTCAACACTCATGTGGAATTTGGCTAAGCGGAAGGATTTGGGGTCCAGGCCCAAACCAACTTGTGAGTGCGTTGTTTATCTGCAATGGTAAAGGAGCATTACGTGCAGGCATCAGGATGTGCCGAGTCCAAAACACGGCGAGGTTGTTTCACGAATCTGAGAAGCACGCGATGTTGCCCAGACGTAGCTGAAGCCGCAAACCCGGACACCTGCAACATGAGGGAACCTGAATATAATCCCTATAATCCCTGTAGTTTCCATTTTCTTTTCCATTATCCCTATATAATCCGTATATAATATCCCTAAACCCTAAACCCTATATAACCCTTAGTCTCTAAGAAAGCAAACAGCTCAGCCAGGACAGGCCAGGAATTCAATGACTATCCAGAAGAAACTATATAGTAATAGTATAGGGATATTATATAGGGACTAAGGGTTATATAGGGTTTAGGGTTTAAGGGGTTATATTGGGATAATGGAAAAGAAAATGGAAACTACCACCCAATATATAGGGTATAATATTGGGTGGTTGTTAGACTATCCGGAAGAAACTAGAAGCATCAGTTTCTTGTTCAGCACGTGTCAGATGGGGGGGGTCTGGATTCTTGAAAAATGCGCAAGCAGTGCGGTCATCAGCTGGATTTGAGGGTTTCGAGGTTTGAGTTGAGAGGGTGGCGAATAACAGTAGAAGCGGAAGCAGTCCTTCCCAGCCTCCATCATAAATGCCAGGGTCTTGTTGCGCGAGCGGCCTTCGCAGATGCACATCACCCCGTTGCTGCAAGAAGCTGATGCATCGAGAGCTTACGGCCGCACGAAACCTTTTTCTGTGTCTTCGGCAAGAGCTGCTCTCTCCATCTGATATGCGAGCTGGGTAGGACTTGAGCCTACACGACTCGGAAGGGGGCCACTGGCCAACCTCAACATCTCAAAATCGTTTTGCATGGCCTAACCTCTGGCAAAACTCTCAATCCACTTCGATGGGATGCTGGTCCTTCTCGAAATCAGCCAGAGCCTGCAATGGCGCTTTCTGGGTGTCCCGGATCAAAGGCCTCATCTGCCTGCGCAGGTCGCGGCCGCCAATGGCCGTCAAGAAAGCTAAAGGGCAAGCCGTAGGCCGTTTCAAGATGTCCTGAATGTTCTTCACCAACACCAGGGCCTCACCTGGGTCGCACTCTGATCGGCTGGTAAGGGACTCCAGCTTGCTGACCAGGGCTTTGAGGGGGCCAGTTGTGGTGTTCACCTGGAACATCCACTCTGCTACTTTAGAGACATGCATGTTGATGGTGTGAAGCATCTTGATCTCCGAGTACTGCACCGGGTACTTACTTGCGAACAATTCCCAATTGGGCTCGTTCTCTGAATCGGCGTCCATCAACTGCTTTTCAGCCTTGTCCCTGTCCTTTTCGTGAATGAACATGGTGTCGCGGAGCTGGTTGTGGTCACTATCCAACTCCTGCATGATCTTGAGGTGCGCCTCCTTAAAGGTGTCTGCTTCCCGGATGTACTGTTCCAGGTTGGCGATGCCTTGCTTTTGTGCAGGCGTGAGGTTGGAGTCAATTGTGAGGGAGAAAGTGCTGAAGCCCTGGGAGCTCTTGTAGGAGCCGCGCTTCACTAGCTCTCCCCAGCGCCCTTGTTCCCAGAGGTTCCAGAGCTCCCTGGAAATTGTGTCATTGGGCGAGCCTTTCATTGTGATGGTGCCCTGCCCCAGGCCCTTTAAGATGTCCCTCTGGGTAGTGATCCTCTTGTTGTGCTCCATAAGCTCTAGCTCGTATGTGGCCTGCTGCCGCTGCATTTGCTGCTCTTTCGCAGCCAGCTGCGCCTTTTTCCTGGCGAGGGTGGTGACGCCTTGGACTAGTCGGTCTTGAAACGCCAAACAAGATATAGATCATGTCGCCCTGCACTTAAGACCAAGAAGACTTATAGACACAACCCCCCACGTTCCAAACAGCATCCGGGCACGGTCCGCCAGCGCGGTGGACAGCTCCTGTTGAATTTCGATTGACTTCTGGATGGCCTTCTGCTGCTCTTGCTGCACCTCTGGGCTGAAGGCCAGAACCTGAATCATCGTGGAACACTGTTTGGTGATGCTTCGGTAGTCCAGCTCTTCGCTTTCACTCCGTAAATCTCGGAGCTCTTTTCTGAGCATCTTGCAGAAGGCATCAAGCTCCTTTTGACGACTCTTGTCTGCTTCGGCCTTACTCTCCTTCTCACTCTGCAAGAGCAAAGCCTCTGGCCGACGATGCATCTGCTGGACATCGTGCTCTAAGCTTTCGCGAAGCCCAGCAACCTCATCCTCCATCTTCGTGCCAATCTCGGCTGCGTGCACGTTTGCGTCCACACGCTCATCCACAGCCTTCCTCACCTGTTCCATGCTCTTCTTCATGTTGTCAATCTCTTGCGCAGCTTCACCCGCGGTGCTGTGGAGGCCGAAGCGCTCAGTCTGCGAGGCCTTTTGAATCTTGCCATGGAGTGCAGTCAGCGTGTCGTGGCAGGCCTCTAGCACTATGTTCATGCACCGCAAAGCATGAACATTCACAGCGCAAATCTTCACATCCTTGCTCACCACTGGTCCACATTCAGCCTGACACATCAATGTGCTCACAAATTCTGAAGTGCCTGATTGAGCTGCCGAGGGCACTGCCAATGCCAAGGAGGGAGTCACCAAGTGAAGCCGCTCCTTCACTTTGCACACCTGCTCGAAAAACTGTTTCATGAGCAAGTAGGCAGCGACAAGGATGGTGAAGGCGGCCAAGCACAGCAGAATGAAGAAAGACACACCATCCTTGATCATCAACGCAAAGATGACCAAGAACAGCCCAACAAAGCAAGCAGGTCACGTCACTGGATCCCCAACAATCAGCTGCAGAGAGCTGTTGCTCAGGAGGCCGTCCAGAGTGAGGGATACCAAGTTTTGCATCTGAAGCTTGCTCTCCATGCTCAATGTGTTGCCTCATAGCAAGTCTGCCACCAGCTTCTCGAACAATTTCAGCTCATTGTTAGACATGGTCGACTGCAGCTTGTTTGCAGTGTCAGGAGACACCCCTACATTCACTGCAGCCTCTGTCAGAGACTTCCCTGCGCCATTCAATCCCAACAATGAGCTGAGCACATCGAATCCGAACATCGCGCGAACCTAAAACTGACAAGTTAGCTAGCCAGGTCCTCTCAGTGTGTCAGGCTGCGGAAGAAAGGACTCTGCTGAAGCTATGCCAGGAGAAACGCGGACTTTCCAGACCCCTGCAGGCACTAAGCGCATAGGGACATGCTCTTGCAAGCTGTGCGAAAGACTTGAGCGTCCCTAGCACTTGTCTGGGTGATGCACGTCTGCTGCAGCTGCGACATCTCTGGCAAATTCCACCTCGCACAATGCAACTGCAGCCATGCAAATTGAATGCCAGTCATGCCTGCAAAATGGCCACATTTTTTGATACGAACATCATGCGCAGGATCTTGTAGTTGATGCAACCACCGAAGTACATGCTGGTGGCAAACCACAGTGTAGCTAAGATGTTGGGAATGCAAAGACGGAAGCTCCTGGTTCTGTCCTTCTTCTGACCAACTTAACCAACCTGCCTTTCGCGCACATTTTACGACGCTGGGCCGAGGGTTCATGCCGTTGGAAAGCAAAACCTGTTTCTGCAGGGGCCTTCAGGTCCCTAAGGGTCCAAGTACCCAATAATTAGGTACTTGGGTTTAGGGTAATAGGAATTATAGTAATGGTTTTGGGTAAGCATATGATTATTAGGTACTTGGACCCTTAGGGGGTACTGAAAGCAACCCACCATCATCAGTACTGCGGTGGTGGCGAACACTGGCGAGGCAGCGACTGGGAGAAGCGTCAAGGGCTCGAAGATGTACAGGTGCCTGAAGAAGCTCGGTAAGCAGGGCGAAAAACCTGTTGAACACCCTAGATACAGTCTCCCAAAATGGAGGACCTTAATATAGACACCCAAAATACTCTTATCCTCATTATGGGGACCCGGAAAAAGGCATCTCTAATCTTGGGAAACCCCAAACCCGCCCAAACCCCATATATCCCTGTAGTACCCCTTTAGAACCCGACATCCCCCTTTTAAGGTACCCCAAATTTTGGGAAACATTAGTCCCTATACACCCCTATATAATCCTAGTTCCATTTCATTATCCAGTTTCTTCTCCATTTCCTTTGTGATTCTTGGGAGAAAAATATCCGTGGCTCCTTGCTAACCCTAAACCCTATACATCCCCATATATCCCCCTTTTAAGGTGCCCCCCCAGATTTTGGGAAACACCCTCGACATCTTTTAACCACCTTCGCCGGGGTGGACCTCCGGACAGCCCGGGAAGCTGGGTCACATCGCCGGGCACGATGCCTGGCCCAGAGACCCTACTTGGAGGGTCATCGGGGTAATGTCAGGGTTATATATGTATATATAGATATATATATATATAGGGGTTATCATGGAAAGGAAAATGGAAACTATAGGGATTCTAGGGTATACATTGGGGTATATATGGGTATAGAATGGAAACTACTATGATTTTCTCTACTGTTTAGGGTGTAGGGTCATGGAAAAGAAAATGGAAACTACTAGAGGACTTAGCAGGTAGGTTAATAATGGGGATAATTGGGCCACTTATGTGCCTTATCATGCGGGTGATTAAGCTACTAAGTCACCCCCTGACCCTCCAAGTAAGAGGGATCAAGTGAGACCTTGGCAGGGATTCTGGAGGTCCGTTCTTCAGGTATGCAAGGATTATAGGGGTTTCGGGCTTAGTGATGTATTATAGGGTTAGGGTCTAGCGATGTATGATAGGGTTTTGGGTTTAGGGTTTTAGGATTTAGGGATAATTATGTTATAAGGGTTTGGGGTTTAGGGGTTTAGGATTCCAACGCACGTTAAGCGCTGCCTCCTGGGACTCGACGTGCGTGTCAGGACCTGGCAGACAAGCACCAGGGCAACCCAAGGGTGCAGATCTCCGCACACATGTGTACTTCTCAAACGAACTGCTTCTAAAAAGGGGCCCTTAACCCTGCATATGATCCCAAAACCCTAAACCCTAAAACCCTAAACCCTACATACAGGCTGAGGAAGGCATCCCAAGGGAACCCGTTGTTGCAAAGCTCCAAGCGGCCTCCTCAACTCCTAGTATCCTCTTAATAAACCTTATAGTAGTCCCCTATATAACCCCCCCCTTTAAGGAGTTTAGACTATAGCTCATGTAACCCAAGGGTTTTTGGAAAAGCCCCCAAATGGCCTCCAGTCAGCTGGTACTCCTGCCTCTGACTCTCCATAGGGTCCAAGTCGCACAACTCGTGCTCCTCTCTGAAGCTTTCTGCAATTCTGATCCAATCCTCTAAGGGTGATATTGCTACAGCAACCTCCTTCTTACGACCTGCAATGTTTAGGGTTCAGGGTTTAGGGTAGATTCCCCGGAACATCCTCAGTGTACATGCTGACAAAATTCGGGTTATTGCCTCTTTATCATGGGTCCTCCATATCCTCACCATGCTCTGGCTCATCCGAAGCCAGCGAGGGCAGGGCCTGACGTAGATGTTACTTCACTAGTCAATCTATTCCTTCTACATTCTAACACCCCTCCAACCCAAGCATTCAATTGTGACGGCAAGAGACTTCATATTCTGGAGAACATATCTAGTTTCACATAAGTTTCACATAAGGGGTAGGCATGTGGTTATGCATTTTGCCATACTGCAAGGGTATTCAGCCAGTCCTGCAATTGCAATAACAACTGCCTTTGTTAGTTGCCATTCTGTGGATCCAGATTCACCAAGACCAGCAGAGGAAGCAGAGCTTTTGCTGACGACGTCGTTTCTTCTTCTTCTGCTGCTGAGTGTGATGGTACCGAAGCTGAAAGCACAAAATTCCCACAAAATGACAGGGAACAATCCCTAAACCCTAAACCCTAAACCCTGAACCCTAAACCCTAAACCCTAAATGGTTGTTCTTAGTGCAAATATGCAAGGCCGGTTAATACGATTGCAGTAAGAATAGCAATGCCACTGCTACTCCTCGTCAAACCTTGCACCACGGATGGCATCCAGCAAAGCCTGAGGCTCTGAATCCTGACACCTCAACTCGAAACCTAATCCCCAAGCTTCAAGACCCACAATCCTTGAACCCTAGATCCTGAAACGTTATCATCACTACATCGCCTCTATAGAATCCCTAGCTAACCGCTACATGATCCCCATATAACCCCTATAATAACATAGCAGTTTCCATTTTCTTTCCATTAGCCCTATACAAGCTATATTCCCATATGCCCCACTAAGAACCCCAATATATACCCCATTATCATATTATGGTAGTTTGTATATTCCCATATTCCAGTAGCCCTATATGACCCCTTTAGAACCCCTTCAGGCATGCCTTTTTCCTCCCAAGACCTGTCGAGATAGAGCAGAGCCCTCAGGGCTGCTCACATGGAGGCTGGCTTGGCCCAGACGTGGAAGTGACTGGGGCTTAGGGCTTTAGGGTTCAGGGGCTGAGGCTGAGGGATCAGAGGGGTTAGTAGGGTATAAAAAAATTGCATATATAGATGGAGTTTATTTTTTCACTCTTTTTTCTAACTGCAGAGTTTAGGGTTCAGGGATTAGGGTTTAGGGTTCGTGGGGAATAAGGGAATATATCAGGGTGTATAGGGATGATGGAAAAGAAATTGGAAACTCCTATATTACATAGGGATTCTCTTCCCCGTTCACTGCTAACCTCTAGTAAGTTAGGGATGAGAGGGTTGCGTTTTGGGCCTGAGGGCCGCGGGTTGAGGGTTTAAGGGTCAGAGCTTTGTGTTTAGGGATAGGGCCAGGGGTTAGGCGTTCGGAGGGTGGAACGCTGCAAGCCTCCCCAAGTTTCCGGATGCAGAGATTGATTTCATCAAGCTCAATGAATTTCAGTGACACCCAAGGGCTGCACAGACCACTTGCAGAACCGGAGGAGGATATGAGTTCTATGATGCCATATCCAAATGGCTTCCGTGAGCTTTTCCACTAGGAATGGAGCAGAAAATGGAAACTTTCTATGGGCCCTGGTCTAAACTCCCAGTCTCCCCCTTTAATGAAAATGACCGCTGTAATACTCCCGATTATACTCCCCTGTATAACCTCCCTTAAAGGAGTTTATAGACTATAGCTCATATCACTTGGTAACTTACTAGCAAAGGCCTTGCTAGGTCTGCACTGCCCTTGAGGGCCACAAAACCTCCTTCGTTGAGACTCTGCCATTCTTTCCTCTGGCTTCCCAAAATTAGGGTTATATTGGGTTATGTAGGCGTATATAGGGATAATGGAGAAGACATTGGAAGCTTTTTGTTTTTTTGTTGCAACGGCCATTTTCCGTCTGCACGAAAACAACTTACGTCGGCCAAACAGTGTCCCTCTCCACCCTCTTACAAGCACAACAACTATATAACCCTATATAACCCCATATAGCCCCATTATAGTAGTTTCCATTTTCTTTTCCATTATCCCAATAGAACCCCAAATATATCCTATACTCCCCATATAACCCCACTCCCGCAGACAGCCTCGGGCAATGTCCACAGCCAAACATTACGGCGACTACCAAAGGGTTCAAGCGGTATTTAGGGTATAGGGTTGAGGGTAATTAGTTCCCAACAATTAAGGTCCCATTTTTGTACCCCTAAATATTCATATGCGGTGCCGTATTGGGACCACGATTTTCGGAACTACCCGATTGTCTAACTGGGCTTCATAGGGAATAAGGGAATATCTTCTGGCTATCATCTAGGGATTCTGAATTCGCGTAATTATTCCCTACTACCCCCCAGTAAGTTGTAGAAGGTTGGATGAAGTCCAGAACTTTTCGGTGTTGGAATGGCGTGAGCCTCATGTACGGAGCCTCAACGCCTGTAGCACTTTAGGCAGGCTCCAGCAAAGTGGTCGATTCAGGCATCGCAGCCCACGAAATCATCCGTGGATGGCAATTCCTCAGCCACAGGCTCTTACGCAAAGCTGCTGAAGTCCCCTAAACCTTAAACCCCTAAACCTTAAACCCCTAAACCCTAAACCTTAAACCCCTAAACCCTAAGCCTTAAACCCTAGACCCTAAGCCTTAAACCCTAAACCCTAAGCCTTAAACCCTAAACCCTAAGCCTTAAACCCTAAACCCTAAGACTTAAACCCTAAAGTCATTGTGCTACTGCAGTCTGGACTGACCAAGACAGCGGCTTGTGCGAGTGGGCTGGAAGTGCGACGTGTCACCAACTTGGCCCATGCCCTGAGAGGCAAGCAAACTAGAGTTTGGCAGCCGCAAGTGTGAGTCGCATGGGTAAGGCAGCAAAACTCATGTCAATAAGGTGGCCTTGCTGGGCATGTTGAGCACGTAACGGCGATGTTCCCGGACCTCGTCCGTCGGAGCTACGGACAGAACCTGGTCCTGGCACTGGCTCTTCCTTGATTTGTGACTGCACGTATCTCTGGCGCAATGCGAATGGGCTTGTCTTAAATCACAAAACCCCTTGACACCAAATATAACCCTAAGATTACCCCAATATAATATAGTAGTTTGCATTTTATTTTCCATTATCCCAACATAACCCCAAACATAGCCCCAATAGAGCTCTAATATAACCCCAACATAGCCCTAATATAACTCCAATACAACCCTAGTATAATCCCAATATAGCCCTAATATATCCCCAAAAGAATCCTAAGCTTTTTAAAGCATGGGCCCCAAACCCTAAACCCTACATCCCTAAGCCCTGAACCCTAAACCCTAATCTCAAGCTTTTTAAAGGATGGGTCACCCTGCTCCTCGTCGTCCTCCTCTTCCTCGTCCTCGGGCATTATGTTCTGCGCTGCACGCCTCAGGATTCCGTGTGTTATATTGAGGTTATATTAGGATTCTATTAAGGCTATACTAGGGTTATATCAGGGTTCTACATATATAGCGCTAGCGCTATATTGGGAGAGTGGAAAATAAGATGGAAACTACTATATTAAAATCCATCCTCTCCTTTGCTGTTTTTGCCTCTGCGGTGGCAGAAGCTTCCCTAAGCACTGCACCCCAAGAGCTCCAGGATGGACCGGAAGTCATGGCCTGAACTTGAAATTTTCGTGAAAACTTGATCAGCGCAAATAATCGTAATAATAGGAATCATAGCAATAATACGAGCAATTTTACTTACCTGACAAATGACTTGTTTCTGAAGCCTAAAGCTGGGCTCGCTGTGTGCTGCTAGATAGCCGCAGGGCCCGAAGCACATCAGCACCGCTGGCAAGGGCACAAGCGCGAAGACCACAGCGTAGGTGGTGACGCCGCAGACCTTCAAATACTACCCATTTTGATGTGCTTTGCTTTCCTCTCATGTTGGCAGCTCCCAATGGTTGATGCTACTACTGTTGCTAATATTGCCATTAAAACCACTGGTACAACTAGTAGTATTACTATTGTTACGCTTATCTGTTCTTTCCCATGCTTTATGACTTGGGGCCCGGACCACCGCGCCGAGCTTGAAGAAGACATGCATCGTGCAGGGCAATAAAAAGGAGGCCGAGCCAATCCTGGGTTGAAATTAAAGAATTTAGCTTCTGTTCCTATAACAGGGAAGCCCTACTACTTACAATATACCCATACTATGGTAACTTAATCTACACTCGACAACATCAGCCCAGCGTCGTGGTCAGCGCCGAGCCAACCTTGGAGAGGACTCGGACCCTGGTGCTGAATAACGAGTGAGGGAGTGGAACATATAAGGATTATTAGGCATTGTTCTGGAGGTATACATAAGGATCATATAAGGAGCTGTAGCTACCACTGTAGGTGTGTAGTTGCACTCTAGAGAGGGATTATAAGGTACCACTATAGCGTAGCTGCCAAAGGGCTCCATGGAGGCAAGACAACGCAAAGCACGAGAAGCAACTCAAGCATCAGCTCGCGCTGGCTGATTGGCGCGTTCCAAGATTGCTTCAATGGCACCCCCTGCCAATAAGCAACCAGGGAAAAGGCTTCTATCCGGCTTTCCGGACTAATTCTGCCTCCAGCACGTTTTTTGCGCGCAGCCTTTCGAGGCTGGACACGTTAAGGGTTCCTGGGGCGTGGGAGCCTCGTGCCGTTGGCCGGCTGAAGGGCTCCAGGTCAAGCGACAAATCGCTCTGGTTGGCTGGCGCGTAAAGAAACAATCCAAGGATACGGTTTACCAAGCACGGTTGGACAACAACATGAATCACGCTGCAGTTAGCGATACGCAGCGATTTCCATGGTTCAGGGCACTCTACACTACTCTAGACCGCGTATGCACTGGCTCTTCTTCTTCTCTCCGCCGGATGGCAGCAGTCATGCAATCAAACCTAGGCTGCCATCAGTTGTTTCAGCGCAATGAGGCACGCTGGTGGTGCCTGGCCGGCTGATGGCTCAGTTTGATGGCGCGTAGTGTTACGCGGTTTGAATTCAAGCATAGCTATGAAAATGGGTGGTAGTGGTTGGGCGCCCCTGCCATCTAGAGATTGCGGCCTCACTTCACAGCTTAGGATTTGGGCTCCAGGGTTTAGTGTTGAGGGATACTCGCAAAGCAAAGACGAAAAGCCAGGACAAGCCAAGAGAGGCACTTAACTCCTCAGGCTCGCCACCAGGATGCTGCGAGGAGCTTGCAAGGATTGGAGTCTCAGAAGTTTACCAGAACTGGAAGTTCAAGGGCTTTCAGGGTTGAGACGTTTGCATGGCCAGCGATGTCAAGGTCTAGAACTTCTTCAATTCGACGTAGATAGGTTCTGGGTTGACAGATTTTCGGTGTCCGTTGTGTTTAAGGGATTGAAGGAAGCAGCCACTCCTACAAGCCCTGAAAGTCTCATCCGATGCAGTCGGATGTGGTGATGCTGCTAACAGAAGTCCGTGAATTCGACGTCCTACACTTGGAAAGAAAACCTGAGGGACCGTCAGCGCACTTTGAGCACCCTCCCATCACCCGGGGTTTGGTAGAGAATGAGGGCAAATATCATGTAGCCATTATAGGGATTGTATTCCCTTATTCCCTACAAGCCACCAGTAAGATTAGGTTTTGAGAAGTTGGGATTCGCTCCAGGTCCTTCCAACAAGCATGCCTAGGGGATCCCTCAATCTCAGCAAACTGGGTTGATGCTAAGGAACTTATAGTACCCCTAATATGATTCAAGGCTTGCATCAAAGGCCAGACTGGCAGACTTCCAGCGAAGCCAAGCCTTTAAACCTCGTAGCCTCGCAGCCGAGGGCTACAAGGTACTTTAAGGTGAGCGATTTTTTCAATAGTTTGGTGCACGGCTGCACACTTTTTGACCTGACGCCATGGAAACCTTTGGCTGAGCCAGTAAGTGCTAGAGGTCAACGTGGTCGACAGTTAGCACCTTGTCCACGAAAACAGGTTGCCACGGACAGCTCAATTCCACAAAAACGGAGCTGCTCCTTAACGAGCGGCGCCAAAGTGACAACATTCGTTTCAGAAATTGGAGCCTGGCCGCGACGCAACGCAAGCTAAATGCCTAGGGAAATATTTAAATAATGGAATTGTCAGGTACAATTATAGGGGTGTACATAAAGATTATTTAGATATCATCAGGTACCATTCTAGGGGTATACATAGGGATTCTATAGGGATTATTAGGTACCAGTATAGCGGTACACATAGGGATTATATTAAAAAAATTATAGGGTATACAGAGGGATTACAATGGAAGTAGTAGGTACAAGTATAGCTGTATACATAGGGATTATATAGTGAGCTGTAGGTATTATAAATTATAGGCGTATTCATAAGGATCATTTCGGGAGCTGTAGGTACCATTCTAGGTGTATTCACAAGGATTGCAGAGGGATTATTAGATACCATTCTAGGGGTATATGTAGGGATTACTGTATATAGGGACTGTTAGGTACCATCATAGGGGTATACATAGGGATTAATACCATGTACTGGGCGTGCGTGTCTTTGCAAGGTTGAATCTGAAACAGACTGGCTACTACAACCCAAAGAACCACAACATCATTCCAGGTGTAGATGTTGTCTCCCCATCCCCTGACCACGAGATCTGAAGCGAGAAATATGCGCGTGTACAAATGGGTGGATGTCAAAATTATGGTCCCTTTTTGGGTGCCCTAAATATTAGGTGCCGTATTATAATAGGGATCCAAAAAGGGATCTTAATTTTGACAACCACCCAAAGGTGTATACATACCTCCTGTGTGGAGAAACGCTTACCAGGCAGCAAAGAAGTTGACAGGGGCAAAGGGGAGCAGCATTGCAGTGAAGTTTGGTCTTGGGTGTTAGCCCCACCCTTGCTGATTTCAGCCTGAATACACCATCATAGAGAGCACAAGCTTGCTTGTGCTGCAAGAGTCATAAGTCATACGTGTCTAAGCCCGTCAAAGCCTGGCAAGCCTTAAACTGCAAACGCAACATCCTCACACCCCCAGAAATGGTACTTTCCCAAAGTAGGGGAACCCCAATATAGACCCCAATATACGACTGTCCTTATTATGGAGACCCCCCAAAAAGGAACCCCGAATTCTGGGAACCCCCCCCCCCAGAAATGTTTTGGCTCCCGGCAATGGAGCCCCCGATCCTCTCCAGGGCGTATTTGGAGCGCTCGAAACGTTCAGCGCCTTAGCTTTAGGCTAGGTCCCGCCTCCTGCTTACAGAAATGTACAGGCTGTACATATGTACCCATACTTACAGGTGAGTACAGGGAAGTGTCCACATCCAGGTATTGAAAGTTGTTCTCTACCTACAATATTCAACAGCCATACCATAGAAATTCAGGCTGATAGATAGCCTTCGTAGATTGGTAGAAAGAGAGATCCCACACATATCAGATGGTAAGATTGTTTTTTTGTTGTCTGGTCTTTTTTGTTGTTTGGGCTTTTTCGGGTGTTATTTGTTTTGCTGTTTGGGCGGGTGCATGTTTCATTTTTTGCTGTTTGGGCGGAGGCGCGGGCCCCGCCCAAACAGCAAAAAAAAAATAACACGTCCCCGCCCAAACAGCAAAAAATAAACACGACCCCGCCCCTTCCGAGCGTGTGTGTTGCTGTTTGGGCGGGGGAGGGGGGGGGCGTGTTTTTTTTGCTGTTTGGGCGAGTGG